TCTTTTATACATCTTCATCCTTATTTACACTTTCAGTCTCTCACACTAGAGAAACAATGCGATATTTAAACATGTATGTCCGATTTACTTCACTTAAGAGTGTGGTCTCAAGGTGCATCCATTAAACTAGAAACGTCTAAAGCGCATCCTCCAACTGTTTTCTTGCAGTGCCTCTCCAGTGCCCTCTGCTGGCAAAACTTCAGATCTACTTTCCCAGAAAAGGCTAAAAGGGTGAATAAGCCACTAACCCGTACATTCTTCAACCCCACTGCCTTTTAGCTGCTCTTCTGATATCCTTCCTTTTTTTTAATATAACTTTATTATTCACTAAACACACACATATACAAAAATTAAAATTATTCAAAGAAAAGCAGTGCAAGGGAAAAAACTATAATATTCAAATATAACAGAACTCAACCAAAGCAAAACTGCAAAGTACTTAAAACATTTTTTCATATAATTTAAAAAAACATCTCAAGCTAGGATTTAGCACCACAGTTTCTGATGCTATTCTTGCTAAAGTCAAGGCTGACCTATTAATTGCCAATGAATTCTCACAATGCCCTTCACTGTGAAGTCTACCCACTACCTGCCCCCGTCTGTTGTCTATAAACTATCTTCATTGCTTTCTCCTAGTTATTTTCTTATTTTGGCTCTGAAAAAAATGATGTTCCCAGGATTTGTTCTTCATTCTATTTTTCCTCCTAGAGCATTTCATCCATTGCCTGGCCTTAGTTGCCTTCTAAGCCTAGATAACAGAAGCACCATCCCCATTTCTGTCCTTCACCCTGAGTTTAAAACTAAACTCTAAGGTCACGTAACTGGCCTTCAGTGATATCATTTTCCTCTTCAAACCTATTTCATCTGTTTTTTCCTCCAGTGCTGGGAATACCCAGGGCCTCATGCGTGGTAGGCAAGCACTTACCACTGTACTCCATTCCTGGCTCCACTTTGTCTCATGTTCTTGGGATCCACTGATGGCATCACCATGAACCAAGACCTAAATGTCTCTCACCTCCATTGTTTTAGTCACCAGGCTGTAATTCTCAGAAATAAATGTTCCTCTAGTCTCTTACATATTTTCTCTTTGCACCAGGGTATTCCTTCTCCAGCCCAAACATCACACTGACCCCAAAATTATTTGCCTCAAGTTGATCATACTACTTTTTATTTTTCCCAGTCTGGATATCAAAACTTCAGGGATGTTAGGCAAGCACTCTAATGTTGAGCTATATCCCCAGCTCCTTGGTAGTTACTTTTAGAAATTTAAGTTCCCCATGTGGGACTGGAAAATACATGAAACTTCAGAAAGACACAACTATTTGACATGGATTTACACAAATTTATTATATCACAGGTGACTATGTGTGTGAGTATGGTGGTGCATGCGGTAATCCCAGCTACCTGGAAGCCAAGGCAGGAGGATCACAAGTTCCAGGCTAGCGTGGATAACCTGGTGAGATGCTGTCTCAAAACAAAAAATAAAAAGAGTCTAAGGATATATACCTCAGCGGTAGATCACCATAGGGTTCACTCCTCAGTACCGTAAAAAGAAGAAGAAAGTTGATATGTGCATGTGATTGGAAAAAAGATATTGCTGACACAACCTGTCAGACAAAATAACTATAAGCACATAGGCAATTTCAGTTTCAAGCTGGTCTCCAAAGAGGCCAAAGATTCTTCTCAAAGATATTTTCTAGAAAAAAGTATGTTAGGTTCATTGTTACTAGTGCAGACAAAGTAAAGAATGTCTAAAATCTGTTTTGTTTTGTGTTTTTGGTACTAGGGATTGAACCTAGGGACTTCACACTGAGCTACATCCCTAACCTTTTTTGTAAGAGGTAAAAGTATTTTAAATTGGTCCATATTTCATTAACCACTCTAATAAGCCCTTATTCTTAGACTCAGCTTGGCCAACCTGTTGGACAAGGATGTGCAGGCTGTACAAAGACTCACTCCAGAGATAAGAGTCTTCTCGAATGGCTGGGGATGTAGCTCAGCGTCACCCCGCCTGCCTGGCAAGTGCAAGGCCCTGAGTTGGATCCCCTGTGCTGCGGGGGGTGGGGATCTTCAGGCTAAAAATTACTATAAAGAGAAATAGAGGGAAGAAGGGATAAAAAGGGAAAGCAGGATGGGGGTGTAAGCAACAGGTGTGGGATGAAATAGATTCCCTGGGATAGACTGTGAGCCTGTATCCCAGACCATGCGAGATGGGCGATGGACTCCTGTAAGTTAGGAATAAAAACACAGAGCTTCTCACATGTAGGCCTATCTCTGTATGGGCACCACTCTTACTAGAGTTTGGATTAAAAGCCTCACTTTTGCTGCCTCTGGAGTCCAATTTCCTTTTTTCTTTCGGTCTGGACAAGTGATATCATCTCTTACACTTTTTTTTTGGTATTTTCAATTTTGACACAGGGTCTAAGTTGCTCAGTTGTCAAGGCTAGACTTGAACTTGAGATCCTCCTGCCTCAGCCTCCCAGTGCTAGGATTACTGGAATGTACCACCATACCTGGCTTCATTAGCTATCTTCTGAATTAAAGATTTCTGTCCTCTGCCAAGACAGCCATGCCTATTAAAGTCTATCAGAAATGGCAATAACTTCCCAAAACAACAAACACGTGTAATGACTTAAAAAAATATCTGATAGGGCCAGGGATTTAGCTCAGTGGTTTCACCGCCTGCTGTGCAAGCGCAAGGACTCGAGTTCGATCCCCCATACCAGAAAAAAAAAAAAAATATATATATATATATATTTATATATATCTGACAACCAGTAAATGCTAACAAATGTTAGCCCATATTGTTAACTATGAACAGATAGTAAGTATCCACCCCTATCTTTCCAAATGTTTAGTAAGAAAGGTAAGTGAACTGATATAGTGTTAAATATAATAAAGATTATCAGGTGAAAATGCAAGTAACTACATCTGGGGAAACTAAGCAGGCTTTCCAGAGGAGAGATTTGAGCTCAAGGCTGAAGGATACCCACTTGGCAAAACAAAGGGCAAAATGGCCGATCCAGAGCTGAGGGTCAAGGGTGCAGCAGCCTTGAATTAAGAGGGAAGGAAGTTCAGGGCTCCAGATCACAGTTGGGGCAGAGTGGAGAATGGAGAATGTGGCTGGAAAGGTAGTCTTCGGTTACTTTGTCCAAACTTTCTTTGCTTGTCTAAAACAATTGGATTTTAGCCTGCAGGTCCATGATTTTTAAATTGAGCTAATTGTCGGAATACTCAGGAAGCTACAGTATTTGAATAGATTGGAACAGGGAACTGAGCTTGGTGATAGTTTATGCCTGAGGCAGGAGGATCCACCAGTTTGAGGCTTGTCCTCTACACTGTAAATTCAAGGCCAGTGTGAACAACATAAGAACAAAATAATAAGAATAAAAAATAATAAGAACAATAATAAGAACAAAAAAAGACTGGAAGACATTCCTCCAGAAATTACAGTGCACGGGGGGGGGGGAGAAACGTATTTGAAAAGCCCTTGGGGTGATTCTGCTATTGAATTAAATTGCTTAGGCTAGCTTCAAACTAGTGATTCTCCTGCCTCAGTCTCTTGAATGCTGGGATTACAGGCCTGTGCCACTACCCCCTGCTTGTGGTTGAAATTTTGGCCACTTGAGTGGGGGAAGGGTGAACCAAACAGGAGAATGCATTATCTTTCTTTTTGTTACTGGGGATCGAACTCGGGTCCTCGCGCTTACACACAGCAGGCGACGTAATCCCTGAGCTAAATCCCCGGCTGCAATACCTTTCTTAAGGGAGTTAAATCCTCAGGATGGACCTACTTCCTCCAGGTCTTTGCTCAGCAGTTTAAAAGTTTCACTTCCTTAACCAGGTGTGGTGATGCAAGTCTGTAATCCCAGCACTCTGAGAGGTTGAGGCTGGAGGCTGGCAAGTTTAAGGAGAGTCCTGCCTGGACAATTCAGCGACTCAGTGATACCGAGTCTCAAAAAAAGAAAGGGGCTAGGAATTTAGCTCAGTGGTTCCACCGCCTGCCTCGCAAGTGCAAAGTCGTGAGTTTGATCCCCAGTACGGGCGGGGAGGGGGGCGTGAGATGCAGCTCAATTTGAATGGCCTGGGTCTAATCCCCAGTGCCATCAAAACCAAATAAATACATTTTAAAAATAAAAAAGAATTAGGGCCGGGGATTGAGCTCATTGGCACTGTGCCTGCTTCGCAAGCTTAAGGTTGAGTTCTATCCCCGGTACCGAAAAAACAAAAAACAAACAAAAAAAAGAATTTCACCCCCTCAGTCATCTTCTAAGGCACCATTTTAGTTATCTGTTATCTGAATCCACTTGTTAGAATGTAAGCAGGACAAAGGCTGTGATTTTTCTCGTTATTTTGTTTTCTTTTTTCTTTTGCTAATTGATCCTCAGAGCCAAGAACAGTACAGCACATTGCAAGCGTAATTACTATGGTTTTGCTCTCTTTTCTCGCCCCGCGCCGAGGACTGAACCCTGGACCTCGTACATACGTGCTAGGCAAGCGCTCTACCAATGGAGCCACATCTCCAGCCTCTATGTTTTTAAACAAATAAATGAACCAATCGTGGACAAAACGAGAATTTGGCTAGTAGGGAGCAGCAGAGAGTCTGTGAAGAATAACCCTGAAAATCCTAATATTGGCAGTTTGCTTAAAAGGGAAGAGAGAGGGACACGAGTTTGATAGTTTCCTTTGTTTTCCAGGTTCTTTGTGATTTCTCTCACTTCCGGGTATAGAAATTTAGTACTTGCGGGAATTGCCACCTGGTTACCAAAGAGCCAAGTCGACCCCCTACCTGGTCGTCAGCAGCACAGCAGAGAAAACCCAGAAACTTGATCTATTTTAAGGATGCGTGCCTGCGGGTCAGTTTGCGACCTAGACGCAGGCATGCGCAGTAGACAGAGTCCTGGCGTGCGCGGGAAACTAGGCCGCGTCCCTTTCTGATTTGCTGCCGCGGCGGACTCCCGCCCACCGGAGCGCAGGGCTGGGTGGTGATTGGGTGTATCTGTAGAGGCCGGACGCCGCCGGGCGCGGGGAGAGGAGGAGGGAAATAGCTTTCCTCGTGCGGGGTCGCCTGGTGCCTTCAGTCTGGCTGTGAAGAGGTTCCGAAATGGCTGTGCAGCCCAAAGAGACGCTGCAGCTGGAGAGCGCGGCCGAGATCGGCTTCGTGCGTTTCTTCCAGGCCATGCCGGGGAAGCCGACCACCACGGTGCGCCTCTTTGACCGTGGCGACTTCTACACGGCTCACGGCGAGGACGCGCTGTTGGCGGCCCGCGAGGTGTTCAAGACGCAGGGAGTGATCAAGTACCTGGGGCCGGCAGGTGCGGGTCGGGCCGGGGCCTGGGCGGCGGGCAGCGGGGCTTTGCAGTGCGGGGGCGCGGCCGCGGTGCGGGGTGGGATCCCACTTCCTCTGCCCGTACCCGGGCGCCGGCGCCTGAGTTCAGGGTCAGTCTCCGTTGGGAGTGTGCGGAGCCCGGCGGTCAGGGCGCCGCATCTTCGCCTTCAGCCGAATCCCCCTAACTAGTCCGGGAACAGTGGAGGGTGGACAGTATCGGGGGCAGGAGACACCTGCGGGAGATCCACTCCTTTGCCCGCGCGACACTGTGGCTAGGCAGATGGGACCCGGCGCCCATCCTGGAGCCCGGCTGGCAGATTCAAGTCGGGTTTTCCTACTTGCTGTGGGACCTCTAGCCAACCGTAGGCGCTTCAATTTGGCATTCTGTGCGTCTGTCACCTGGCCACACCTGGCCAGCACCTTTCCTCCCCGGAGAGCTACAGACTTTTCAATCTGCGTGGGTTTGGTGCTCTAGCTGGTACTCGTTGATCTCTCTCTTCCCGGGCTTTGATGTTTTCCTTTCGATGACAATAAAGGGAAGAGCATTCTAAGGAAATTAAGGAGCTGGGGGTTCTGGTCCAGGGGGTTCCTCTTGCAGCCCGGCTGTTACTGAGAAAAGATGCTTCATTCGTGAGACGAGAGTGTGGTGTCTGTCAGGCAGGGTCGTGTGAGCTAAAGAGGCTGTCCTTCTCTCACAGAGCTCATTCTAGTGGAAAACGATGCAGATGTCATTACAGTTCAGAGTGTGAATGCGGAACCAGTTGGTCAAGAAGCACAGAAGTAGGATCAAGGACTGAAGAAGGTAGACTGAGGCGCGTTTCATGAGATGCCAAGTTCCACATGAGAGACTTGGAGGACTAGGAGTTTGCTGAGAAAGATTGTTAGAAAGGAGGTAGATATTGTTGGTGTAGAAAATGATGAATGAGGTGGGATAGGATCACAAAAGACATTTTATTTAAAGAATTTGTTCTAGTCTTTTTTTTTTTTTTTTGGTTCGGGGGATCGAACTTGAGACCTTGCGTTTTTGCAAGGCAGGCGATAGCACCACTGAGCTAAATCCCCAGCCCTAAAGAAATTTTTTTTGCATGATGCTAGCGATGGTACCGAAGGTGTCTTGCATGCCAAGCACACACTGTTATCACTGAACTACACTCCCAGCCCACAAAGGACTTTTTCTGTTGTAGGCAGTGAGGTTTGAAGACTTTCAAGTAAATATCCAGTGGAATGTTGGATCACTGTCTATCTTGTGGAGGATGAGTTAGAAGGGGACAAGTGTAGAGCTATAGGAACAGTTAGGATCAGCCAGAAATACTTAGGGTGGCTGCATAGTTAATGATGGTCTAACTTGTCCTATTTTAAAGGGGTTATATGAGTCCTGTTATTCAAGTACACATAGCTCTGTTATTTGTGTGTTCACATTAGAATAGTGTGAGCATTTAAAGTGATGTAAATTGTTCTAAACATAAATTGTGTATATTTATATAATTTGCATCTGATTTTTCTAAGCACCTATAATAATTCTCATACTTCTAATTTTTCTAATTTAGATTATGGAAGGAATTGTGGATGCTAAGTATTACATGTGTTTATTGGGAAGAAAATGTAGGATGAACATTCAGGACTTTTTTGCGGGGCGTGGGTACTGGGGTTCGAACTCGGTCCTTCCACTTGTGAGGCAGGCAGTGAAACCACTGAGCTAAATCCCTGGCCCAAAGGACTCTTGAAGCATAGGTTTTTTAGAAAACATAATGCTCCCTTAGTTGCCCTTATGTTAAAATGAGTGTTTTGCAGGCCTATTTCTCAGAATGGTGTAACCTAAATATTCACCTCATCCTGATCACATAGAGAATGTGGTTAAAGATGAATTTAACTTTTTGGAGACATTAGCAAGGTAATGTGTTATTGCCAAGCATCTACTTCTTGCATTAGATCCTTAATCCAAAGGTACATTTTCAGGTTTGTCCTAATATTTATTTGAATATTTGAGTAGTCATAAAATGATGGGTACTTTGTTACTACAAATTGACAAAAAAAAAAATTGAGAAAGGGAAGGACTCAAAACCAAAAATGTACCATATTTTCCAAAAGCTGGTGATTGCATCAGGGTAAAATTTCTGTATGGAATATTATTGAATCCCCCTCCCCTGTACTGGGAATTGAACTTAGGACCTTGTGCTTGCCAGGCAGGCACTGCACTACGGAGCTACATCCCCGACCCCTGATCTTTAAAAAGGAGGTACTGTCATTCTCGACAGTATGGATGAACTTTGAGGACATTATGCTAAGCAAAATGAGCCAGACACAGAAAGAAAAATACTGTATGATCTCTTTTATATATAAACCTCAAAATGTCAGATACATAGAAACAAGTCAGATACAGAGAACTATGGTTACTAGGGGCAGGGATGAGGGAGGAAATGGGGAGTGTAGGTCAGAAGGGATGAAGTTATGGTTCAGTACAATGAATTAACTCTAGAGACCTAATGTACAGTATGAAGATCACAGTTACTATTATGCACTGAAAATTGGCTTTTAAAAGTAGATTTTAGGGCCGGAGATTTAGCTTAGTGTTGCCACCGCCTGCCTGGCAGGTGCAAGGTCCTGAGTTTGATCCCTGGTACCAAAAAAAAAAAGTAGATTTTAGATGCTATTCTCTCCCAAAGGTAACTGAGTTAATGGTTGAGTTAATTGGCTTGACTGTAGTAATCATTTTTCATGGATTATGTATATCAAAACATACTGTGTACCTTAAACATATGAAATTTAAGATGAGCAGAAGAGAATATTTCTAAAAAATATGGCACCAAATTTAAGATCCCTCCATATCATTTCTACCAGGAGACCAACTTCCCGTGTTGCTTCTCCAATATTTTTTTGTTTTTTATTTTTTTTATATAGGGTTTCACTATGTAGTTCAGGCTGGCCTTAAACTTATTATGTAGCCTAGGCTGGCCTCAAACTCAAGGTGATCCTTCTGCCTCAGCCTCCCGAGTATTGGGATTATAGGCGTGCACCACCAAGCCTGGTGTTTCTCCAACCTTTAGTTCAGCTAATCTCTGCTTGCTTCAATCCTCATACAATTTGTTCTGGCCTTTTACCGTATCCTTTGACCAAACAATTATTTCTCTCTCCCTAAGTTTCTTTTTGTTTTTTTTTTGGTACTGGGGATCAAACTCAGGACCTTGCACTTTTGAGGCAGGTGCGGTGCCACTGAGCTAAATCCCTGGCTCCATTCACTTAAATTTCTAGTGACTTTTAGTATGTTCACAGCTGAGCAGCCATCACCATGGTATTTGGGGGGCGGGGCGTGGTGCCAGGGACAAATGCAGGACCTCACACAAATTAGTCAAGTGCTCTACTGTTTGAGCTACATCTCCAGCCCTGCAGTAATTTTGGCATATTTTGTCACTTCAAAAAGAAGCTCTGTACCCATTATTTGTTATTCTGTTTCCCCCACAATCTCCCCAGCCTGAGGATGCCATCAATCTATTTTCTGTCTCTAGATTTGCTTATTCTGGACATGACATGTAAATGGAGTCATGTAATATGTGACCTTTTGTTTCAAGGTTCATTTGCATTAACACTACTTCATTCCTTATTATTGCTAAATAATTACTTTATTGTATGTGTATCAGACATTTGTTTAGCCTCTTGTTAGTTGTTGCTTGAACTCATTCTCCCCTTTTTTTGTACTGGCGATTGGCCTTTTGTACTGGGGATTGGGTCTTTGCACTGAGCTACACCCACCTCTTCTAAATCCTAGCACCTGGCAGCACAGTTGAATGGAGGTGTGGGCTCTAAACCACTCTCAAATAATCTGAGCCCTTCCCTTCACTCAGGGATAATAACTAACTTGCTTTAAAAACCCTGTACCGACCATTTATACTAGATAAAACACAGCCTACTAAAAGAGCTGCCCAGAATTATGTCAGACCAGTGATTTTCTCTCCCTGGAATTTTTCCTGAGTTGGACTTTACATTTTGCCTTCTAAATTGAGGGAGGAAGTAGGCCTGGTGGCTGATGCCTGTCATCCTAGACTTGGGAGGCTAAGGCAGTCATACCTCAAGTTCGGTGTCAGCCTGGGCCACACAGCAAGATTCTGTCTCAAAAATGAATAAATTGAGGGATGATATAGAAAACTGCTTTTAAAACTCATTGCTGCATTTACTGAAAGTTACTCATCTTCATAATGGTGTTTATGAGTGTCTTGGGGAGAAATTCCTCTCTGAATTTGTATTAGCCTTCGTGCAGTGATTTCTTAGGTTCAAATATTTTTTATTTTATCCCATTGCCCCCTCAAGCCCCCTCCCCTCCCTGTGTTCAAAAGCTTTGCTTCCATTTTTCCTTCTCAAAATTTTAAAATGATGTTTCATCATATGCAGAATATAACTAATGTGGAATTCAACTAGAAGGACTAATCATTTAGGTTTGCTGGGGATGATGGTGTTCCTGAAACATAGAACTTCCAGTACTAAAACTGGGGAAGACTTGGACAAGCCCCGATGCAGTTAGTCATTTTATGTGCTGTGGCAAAATGAACAGTAGTTTGAATGGGGTCTGCCATTCTACTCTGAGGTTCTGATCCTGAGCAAATTTGAGTTGGGACATGTGAGCTGCAGCTTGGGGAGGCCTCTGGGAATGTGAGGAGAGGCCTACCTGAATGGGATTCCAGAGCAAACAGTTCTCATGTAACTGTTTTGTAAATGCCAGCGCAAGGAAGAAAAGTACTCTGGTTGATCATCGTGGCCTGTAATACCAGCCTGCACTCTGGAGGGTGAGGCAAGAGGATTTCAATCAAGTTTGAGGCCAGTCTGGGCGACATAGTGAGTTCAAGGCCATCCTGGATTATATAGCAAGACCTGTTTCAAAAATCAAGACATTTCGACACCTGGTGCCCAAGCTGCAAGGACCTGAGTTTGATCCCCGGTACCAAAAACAAACAAAAAATCAAAACAGATTAAAACAAAGCAACAACAAAAAAGACAAAAACAAAAGAAAGAGGAATCTATTCAACTCTAAGAAAATATCACTGTGTTGAATTAATTTACCAAGTTGAAAAGTGGTGGCCAGCCAAGTATAGTGGTTCACACCTGTAATTCCAGCATTCCAGAGGCTGAAACAGGAGGATTGCTATGAGTTTGAGGCTAGTTGTGCTTCACAGTGAGTTCAAGGCCAGCCTAAACTACATAGTGAGAGACCCTGTCTCAAAAAACCAAAAAAGAAAAAGAAAAGTGATGGCCAAAAACGTGCTTTGATGAGTTTGAATTAGTTGTCTGTCTATTTTGTGGTACTGGGGATTGAAGCCAGGGCCTATGCACTGACTTACATCCTCAGCTCTTTTTTATTATTTTGAGACAGGGTCTTGCTAAGTGATTAAGTTGTCCAAGTTGACCTTGAAATTGTGATCTTTTTGCCTCAGCCTCCCAGAGTGCTGAGATTACAGACATAGTCACCACTTGTCTGTATTTTTCTCTTGTCCCTTCCATCCACCCACCTACCCCCTTGCCTTCTCTCCCCTTCTCTTCCCTCCCCTCCCCTCCCCTCCCCTTCCTTCCCTTCCTCTCTCCCCTCCCCTCCCCTCCCCTTCCTTCCCTTCCTCTCTCCCTCCTTCCCTTCTTCCCTTCTTCCCTTCTTCCCTCCCTTACTGAGAATTGAACTCAGGGCCTTTGTACTGAGTTGCATGCCCAACCCTTTGTTTAGTTTTTTATTTTGAGACAGGATCTCCCTAAATCATTAAACTGACATCCCAAAGCCCTGGGGTTACAGGCATCCATCACCTTGCCCAATTTATCTGTTTTTTTAAATTAGGAGATTTTTTTGAAAACACTTAGATTTTGAGTTGTTTTTGTTTTGGTCTTTTTTTCCCCCAGTACTGGGTATTAAACCTGGGGCCTTTGCATGTCTTCCCAGCCCCCTCTTTTTCAAAAAATTTTGAGATAGGCTCGCAAAATTTTCCAAGCTAGGCTTGAATTCACAATCCTGCCGCTGCCTCCAAGAGTGCTGGGATTATAAGTGTGAACCACCGTGCCCAGCTTGAGAGTTTTTTTTTTTTTGGGACATGGTCTTGCTGTGTAGTTCAGCCTGGCCTTGAATGAACATACTACGTAGGCTAGGCTGGCCTGGAATTCATGTCAATCCTCTTGCCTCAGCCTCCTGAGTATTGGTGTAACAGGTGTGTACCACCATACCTTGCTATTAACCATTTTATACCTGTCATCTGCTGTATCTAGGACATAAAATCAGTGCTTGATAAACAGTTCATTAGATGATGATAAACAGTTCATAGAATTACTGTGAGAACATTATATATTGGGGAGATTGTGTTAGGTGCTTGAACACTTATTACCTCAAATCCCCAAATGAATTATTAACATACTTAAATGTTTTCTTTTTTAGGAACAAAGACTCTACAGAGTGTTGTGCTTAGCAAAATGAATTTTGAGTCTTTTGTAAAAGATCTTCTTTTGGTTCGTCAGTATCGAGTTGAAGTTTATAAGAATAAAGCTGGAAATAAGGCATCCAAGGAAAATGATTGGTATTTGGCATATAAGGTAATTATCTTTTCAGATTTATTTTTTAATAAATAATTCAGTGATATGTTTTTATATTTTAACCAGGTTGTAATTGTAAAATTTTTTTTTTTTTGGTACCAGGCATGGAACTCGGGTCCTTGCGCTTGCGTAGCAGGCAGCGAAACCCCTGAGCTAAATCCCCAGCCCTGTAAAATATTTCTTTAAACTTTTGTTTTGTTTTGTTTTTGGTACCAGGGATCGAACTCAGGACCTTGCGCTTGTGCAGCAGTCATGATGCCACTGAGCTAAATCCCCGGCCCAAAAAACTTTTAATATGATTTAGAATGTTTTGTTTTGGTACCAGGATTGAACCCGGGTCCTTCTTGCGCTTGCGCAGCAGGTGGCGAAACCAATGAGCTAAATCCCTGGCCCCTTTGTTTTGTTTTTTGAGGCAAGGTCTCACTATGTAGTTCAGGTTGGCCTTGAACTCACTTTTTTAATGGTGCTGGGGATTGAACCCAGGGCCTTACATTAGGCAAGCAGTCTACCACTGAGTTACATCCCTAGCCCTTAAAAAGTTAGTTTGAGGGGCCCTGGGATTTAGCTTAGTGGTTCTACCACCTGCCTTGCAAGTACAAGGACCCGAGTTCTATCCCCAGTACCAAAAAAAAAAAAGAAAGAAAGAAAAAAAGTTAGTTTGACCTGGGCACCATGGCACACACCTGCAATTTCAGTCATTGGGAGGCTGAGGCAGGAGGATCACAAATTAGAGTTCGCCTGAACTGTGTAGTAAGACCCTGTCTTAAAAAAAAGTACAGCTTAATAGCAAAATAGAAATTTAATTTTTATTTTACTTGGTTTTTTTGTTTTGTTTTGTGATAGATATAGATACAGATTTGTTTTGGGGGGTACTGTACCAGGGATCGAACTTGGGACCTTGTGCTTTAGAGGCAGGCGGCAGAACCCCTGAGCTAAATCCCTGGCCCTGTTTTGTTTTTTGAGACAAGGTTTCACTATGTAGTTCAGACTGGCCTTGCACTCACTGTAGCCCAACCTGGCCTTGAACTCAGAGCAATCCTGCCTTAGTCTGCCCAGTGCTGGGATTATAGGCATGCACCACCATGGCTTAAATTAGAAATTTAGCAGGTCCACATGGAGAGATGATTGTGAATGCTCTGAGCCTTGTCACTGTTCTAAAACATAACCATGGATAATGACCTGCACATTTGAATGTCAGTACTAAAGAAGGATTTGATTTTCCTTTTTTTGAAGTATTTCAAACAATTAACATCATTCCCCATGTCTCATCTGTACGCACTTGTCACGTGTTTGCATGTTTTTATACACCTTTCCTGCCAGGGTGTGGCTTATTATGGAAGCCTGCAGCATTCATGGGGTCTTCCGTGGTAATGTCCTCATGTAGAAGCAGTGCTGTTGATTTTTGCTGTATTTCTTCAGCGGCTGTCTTCTTCCTTACTAGCCAGTCAGGTCATGTTTTTGTTTGTTCATATAGTCCTTGCACAGAGTAAGTTCTCAGTAAATATTGGGATAAATTAATTGTTAAGGGGTCAGGGAAAGGAGGCTTATTTTTGAGCAGGGATGAATGTGTGGTAAGGTAGGCAGTGCTTTGTGCTGTAGTCAGTAGATTTCATTTCTTCTCTCTCCCTAATGGGTGACATTGGCCCACTCCCCAGCCATTTCCTGTGTCTGTTTCTCATAAATGGTAAAATTGGAATATTTTTTAAGATGCTTTCTGACTTCAAAGTCCTGTGAGGGTTTTTCTCTATTGTGAGGTTTAATTTAATATTTAATATTTTAAATATTTGATGCAGCTACTTCAAGTAATAATGTTCTTCAGTCTTTATTCCATATTCTTCCCATCCCCTTGTAATTTATTTATTTATTTATTTATTTATTTTGGTACCGGAGATTGAACTCGGGTCCTTGCGCTTGCGCAGCAGGCGGTGAAACCACTGAGCTAAATCCCCAGCCCCCCTCCTTTTAATTTTAGACATGTATATTGTAGACTTCCCTGGTAATATTTGTTACTGTATAGAGAAAAGTAGGATTTATAATTTTAGCCTATTTTGTTTGTTGTTTGCTTGTTTAATTTTTTGAGACAGGGTCTCACCATGTAGATCAAACTGGACTTGAACTCTGTAGCCCAAGCTGGCCTCCAACTTGAGGTGATCCTCCTGTCTCAGCTTCCTGAGTGCTGGGATTAGGCGTGTACAACCTGTGTTTTGAAAGATTTTCCTGAGGATTGAGCGCAGGCCTTCCCATTGAGGTATATTCTCAGGTCTTTTTTAATATTTTATTTTGAGTCAGGGTCTCACTAAATTGCCTAGGCTGAGTTCAAACTTGTGATCTACCTGTCTCACCCTCCCAGACTGCCAGATTACAGGTGTGCCCCACCACACGCAGCTCTATCAGAATTTTTAAAGATGAGCTCTTTTTACCTCCCACCATTAAGGTCAGGAGTCTTGTTTTGTATTTTGTTTTGTTTTGTTTAGCAATAGGTTGAACCCAGGAGGTGCTGAGCTAATATTCCCAGCCCTTTACAAATTTTTTTGTTTTGGTACTGGGGATTGAACTCGACCTTGCCCTTTGCAAAGCAGGGGAGGTGCCACTGAGCTAAATCCTCCACTAAAAATTTTTATTTTGAGACAAGGTCTTCTTAAGAACCCCAGGCTAGCCTTGAACTTGAGATCTTCTGCTTCAGTCTCCCAATAGCTGAGTTGACAAGTGTGTGCCCCCAGGCCTGGCTGAAAAGTCTTTAAAATATATATCTTTCCCAAATTGAAAAAATAATGTCTAGCTGGGCAGTGTCTTCATCCCAACATTTTAAGAAGCTCAGATCTGTAATTGCTAAAAATGATTTGTCTTTACTTTTATTAATTTACTGATTCTATTGGAAATTGTTAGTGATATTTGAAGTAACTTTCTTCTCCATGCTTTCAGTAGTATGTTTGGAGCAAGAAAAGGCCTTAGCATCTATTTCAGAGAGTATCATCCTTATGTAAATTATCAGTTCTCAAGATCCTAATTGTATTAACTACTGGTTCACTTTCTTTTTGCTTTTATTTTTTTTTCTTTTCTTCATTTCTGCAGATTGAACCTAGGGCCTTTGCACTGAGCTACATCCCCAGTGTTTTTTTTTTTTTTGAGACAGGGTCTCACTTAAGTTGCGTGGCCTGGGCTTGAACTTGTGACCCTCCTGTCTCATCTCCCAGAAAGTGCTGGGATTACAAGTGTGTGCCCATGCCCATGCCCAGCTTGCTACTGGTTCTCTTGTGAGTGGTTTGTTTTGTTTTGTTCAGTGTTAGGGATTGAACCCAGAGCCTTACATATGGGAGGCAAGTCCTCTAACACTGAGTTAGATCCCCAGCACTGCGGGTTTTTTTGTTGTTTGTTTTTGTTTTGTTTATTTTTAAGTGTGCTTTGTAAACCTGGACATGTTAATCCGAAGCATGTATGTGAAAATACAGTGTTTTATGTGTGTGATTGAATCAATACTTTTTTCATTTGGCCATCAGCAATATTTTTTCGTTTCAATTTTGATCCAAATTTTAGTCAGTAATCCATAGTTATAAGTTAATCACAATTATGAACAAATGATTTTCATGGTTATAATGCTAAACACATTGAAACTGGTTGCTTAAATTTGATTATTGCTGTGCTCATTTGGAAGGAGGTTTATGTCCTATGACTATCTCGTGTAATACAGGTTGAATGTTCCTTACCTAAATGCTTAGAACAAGAAGTGTTTTGGGGTTTGGAATATTTGTATATATATACTAAGGTACCTTTGGACTAGGACTCAAATCTAAATAGGAAATTCATTTATGTTCATGTATGTCTTATACACATATCCTGAAGGTAATTTTATACTACATTTTATATATATATATATATATATATATATATATATATATATATATAGTGTGTATGTATGTGTGTTTTGAGATAGAGTCTCACTATGTAATTTTGGTAGTTTTGACTGTCTGTGAACTCACTATGTAGCCCAGGGTGGCCCCGAACTCAGCCTTCCAATTGCAGTACGTAATGGTATTCGTTGTGGGGGGTTGGTACATGTACTTAACATATCTTAATTCTTTTTTTTTTTTTTTTTATTCCTACCCCTCTGCCTCCCTCAATCTCTTTACCATCATTCCTGAGAATCTTGTATTATTCCAGTGCACATATTTTTTTTTTTTTTTGGTACTGGGGATTGAACTCAGGACCTTTCGCCTGTGAGGCAGGCAGGGGAACCACTGAGCTAAATCCCTGGCCCATCTTAATTCTTTTTTCATATCCTCCTCCCGCCTGGTTTTTATACAGTGCTGGTTTTTTGGAGACGGGGTCTCACCATGTCTTTCAGGCTTTCCTTGAACTCACTGTCCTCCTGTCTCAGCCACCCTAGTGCAGGGACTACAGGTGTGTGCCTCCACACCTGGCTCTTTGCACAATTTTTAAATAATTTCATGTGTAAACAAAGTTTCATGGTGTAGAATTTTCCACTTGTGGGAACATGACAGTGTTCATGTCTGTCAGTAGTCCCTGAAATGCCTGATGTTAACAGGGACCTACTGTAAGTGTCTGATTGGGGCTAAGTATGCAGTGTTTCCCACTGGCAAACAGATTTGACCATTTGGTTACCTGTACAGTCTTAGAGATTTTTTTTAAGCTTTTTGTTTGTTTTGGTTTTTTACTATATCAGTATGTAGCCCAGGATGGGCTTGAACCTGTGGTGTTCCTCCTCCTTTCGTCTCCTGAGTGCAGGGATTATTGACATGCACCACCATGCCTGGCTAGGTTTTTAAACCTTTTTGAAATAAATATATATGTATGGGAGGGTGACTTTCCAAGGTCATTATTTAAGTTAGTTATACTTTGTGTTTAACTAATACATAGTTTGGCAGAATGTAGAAAATTAACCACAACATTGAAAGATTACCAGTTTGAGTATCTTAATGATTGTGTGTATAAGCCCAGCTGCCCCATTTACAATTGAAAATCACTTTAGACTTTTTATTTGACAGTCTTACTATAAAGCTGAGGCTAGCCTTGAACATGAAATCCTTCTGTTTTAGCTTCCTGAGTGCTGGTGTTAGAAGCATGCACCATCATGCCTGGCAACAGAATTAATTTTAGATGTGCCAAAAGGTTGTGAAAACAATTGGAAAAGGAGGGAGGGTACTTTCTAGAAAATGTAATAATAATTTGGACATATGGAGGCAAGCAATTATTTTTGTAAGAAAGTATTTTACTAATAAAATTCTTGTTTGCTAGTAAAATTTTAAAGTGTGTTCATCAGTTTCTTAAAGTTTTTCTTTATTTTTGCTTAGGCTTCACCTGGCAATCTTTCTCAGTTTGAAGACATTCTCTTTGGTAACAGTGATACGGCAGCTTCCATTGGTGTCGTGGGCATTAAAATGTCTACAGTTGATGGTCAAAGACAGCTTGGAGTTGGGTATGTTGACTCTACACAGAGGAAGCTAGGACTGTGTGAGTTCCCTGATAATGATCAGTTCTCCAATCTCGAGGCTCTCCTGATTCAGATTGGACCAAAAGAATGCGTTTTACCAGGAGGAGAGACCTTTGGAGACATGGGGAAGATGCGGCAGGTAAGGGAATAATCCAAGCCTAGGAAGGCCTCTTTAATTCAATTGATGCTGTTTTATTTATGGAAAAATTAAATCAGTTTTAATCTAATCAAAATCATGTTTTATTTTGAAGAGTGTCTTGATGTTCATCTTTGACAGAAACAGTTTGTTTTTGTTTTTGGTACCGGGGATCGAAGCCGGGTCCTTGAGCTTGCGCAGCAGGCTGCAAAACCCCTGAGCTAAACCCCCGGCCCAGAAACAGTTTTTTAAGAGGACATCAGAATAAACTGTTCTTGTATAAGATTTGTACCTCAGATCTTTTCTCTCTTCTTTCTGCCTCATTCTAAAAGTGTAATTATTACAGTAAATATTACTGTCTTTAGCACGATTCATCAGATAAATAATGTGAAGTTCTTCTGGAGTTTTTTGGTTTTCGTGGTCTGGCAATCAGCCTGGGTTCTGGAGCATTTCTAAGTGTGTGTTCAACCGTTGAGCTCATCTTGGGATCTAGAATTATATTTTCAAGTTCAAGGGGAACTTCTGTTCTTTGTTTATTTATTTATTTAGGGCTGGGGATTGAACCCAGGGTCCTGTGGATGCTGGGTAAACAGGCTACCACTGAGCTGGATCTCCAGTCTAAACTGGAGTTTTAGCTTCTTATTTTACTGCTTCTATTTTAACCAAATTCCCATTGTGCCATTTATGTAACTGTATGTTTTATTATTTAGGTATTTCTTAAGATGTATCCTGTAAGGATTCTTTTTTTTTTTTTTTTTTTTTCTGGGCCTCAAATACCGTAAGATAGCAAACCTAGACGAACATTTTTAAGGATAGATAATAATTAAAGCAATTTTCTACAAATAGTATTCTGTTAAAAGTTTTCACTATGGGACTTTTTGTTTTTGACAGAATCTTGTGAGGTAGTTCAGGCTGCCTTTAACTCACTGTGTAGCTCTGGCTGGCCTTGGACTTGCACCAGTCCTCCTGCCTCCGACTCCCAGTGCTGGGATTATAGATTTGTCTAGGTCTAGTTTATAGATCTTTTTTTTTTTGGTACCGGGATGAACTCAGGTCCTTTCACTCACGAGGCAGGCACCGGAGCCACTGAGGTAAATCCCTGGCCTATAGATCTTTTAAAAATATGTAGCTAAGTAATGCTTCCAATATTTTGCACATTGTATAAAAGTTTAATGCATGTTAATGACCTGTTAAAATGTTGTCACTTTAATTTGTCAGCTTCTATTTTTTGAAGTATCAGGGATTGAACTTGGGACCTTGCACTTGCCAGGCAAGCAGCAGAACCAGTGAACGAAATCCCCTGCCTTCAACTTTCTTTTTTGTAATAGCTGTAGTGGGGATGGAACCCAAAGTCTTCACACTGAAATTATGTCCCTACCCCCTTTTAAAAATCGTGTATTTATTGAGATGGGGTCTTACTATGTTACTTCAGGCTGGCCTTGAACTCACTATATACCCACCTGCGGTGATCTTCCTCCTCTGCCTCCTGAGTGGCACACACTCAACTTTTAATTTTTTCAGTCTCCCTAGGTTGGACTTGAATTTTATAATCTTTTGCCTCAGCTTCCCAGAGTGCTGGGATTATAGATGTGTGCCACCAAACCCAGCTATAATTGTCTTTTCTCAGTTTTGTAATACTAATTTAAAATATTTCTTGTAAAATAGATTATTCAGAGAGCAGGAATTCTGATCACAGAAAGAAAAAGAGCTGACTTTTCCACAAAAGACATTTACCAGGACCTCAACCGGTTGTTGAAAGGCAAAAAAGGAGAGCAGATGAATAGTGTTGTCTTGCCAGAAATGGAAAATCAGGTATGTGGATTACAAATGTGAATTTATTTTTAAATAATTTTTTAGAAGGCTGCTTCTGTCAAATTTATTTCAAAACCTAAACTCTGGATTGGTAATATTAAGCTTATTTTATCTATGATGATATTTGTAAAAAACAAAAAACACAAAAAACTTAAGCATATAACTGAAAATTTAAACGTAACTTTAAATGCCTTTATTTTTTTTTTTGTACTGGGGATCAAACTCAGGACCTTGCGCTTATGAGGCCGTTGCAGTGCCACTGAGCTAAATACCTGGCCCAAATGTTGTTGTATTTACGTGGCACATATGCCTGGGGTACAGAAGGACTTTAATAGTTTCTCAGAGAGAGCCTGACTCCTGGCACTGCAGAGGGGGCCAGCGTAGTGACTAGAGGGGGAAAAGTTGTTTGGTGGCTCAGCTTTGTTAGGTGTCAGCTGTGGAGGACTAATAATTAAATTACCTTTCCTAGAGGTTCCAGTATCTGTTAGACAAGGCTAAAACTACTTACCTTAAAGGATTGCTTATCAAATAGGAAAAATAGACACACAATGAACATGGTATGAACTACTGTTTATTTTGTTTTTTGTTTTTCATGTTATGTTTTGTGGTGCTAGGGATTGAACTCAGGACCAAATACATGCTATGGATATATTCTACCACTGAGCTACATCCCTGGCCCCTCAAGCATACCTTAAGTATTCTTTAATAAATACAGTCATACCTCGGTTCATGAACTTAATTCTTTCCACAATTCTGATTTCAAACCGGATTGGATGAGAAATGAAACAAATTCAGTGGTTAGGTTCAGTTTTGACCTTATGGGGAAATTTGATTTGGTTCTCAGTTAGAATCGTGGAAAGAATTAAAGTGGTGAACTGAGGTACTGCTGTATAATTTGTCATTGGCTAACAGTTTGATATCTTGAGTTTTTTATTTTTTGTTATAGTAATAACATAGGTAATAAGAATATATATAATTTAAACTTACTTTGTTTAAATATGTACATGGGAAAGTGTATACACCATAAGTCTATAGTAGAATTTTCATTAATTGAATAAACCCACTTAATCAGCATCCATGAAACAACATTACTGGGACCTACCAGCTCCTCGTGCTTCCTTACAGTCATTACATTCACCAGGTAGCCTGGTCCTGACCTCTGCCGGTTAGATTGGTTTTGTCTAGTTTTGTAGTTTATATAAAAATGATAAATGGCATTATATAACATACTTTTGCATCTAGCTTTTTCCATTCAGTATTATTTGTGTAAATTTATCAATATTCTTTGCAATCTTGTTTGCCATTTTGGGTAATTGGAATTTTTTTTGTGGTAGTGGGGATTGAACTCGGGACCTTGTGTTCGAGAGGCAGGCGGCAGAACCAGTCAGCTAAATCCCTGGCCCCATTTTGGGTAATTTAAACTTTCTAAAACTAGTTTTCTAATCTCAAGAGATTAATTTTTATTTTCTTGATGTAGATGGGGAAAGAACAGCAAGAAAAATGCCAGTATAGTTATTTTTATTTGCATTTGTTTTTTAAACTCTAGAATTAGTACTGGTGATATAAGAATATTTTATTTTAAATCTTAACCTTAGGTTGCAGTTTCATCATTGTCTGCAGTAATCAAGTTCTTAGAACTCTTATCTGATGATTCAAATTTTGGACAGTTTGAACTGACTACTTTTGACTTCAGCCAGTACATGAAATTGGACATTGCAGCAGTTAAAGCCCTTAATCTTTTCCAGGTAAGAAAAAACAAAAAACATGAGTTAAAAATATTAAATATCTCAAAATATTTCCTTTGGTATATACTGAAGAATATTATTAGCAACTTAAATATTTTGAAGTATTATACTAAGAATAGATAAGTAGGGGTTTTTTTGGTACTGGGTATCAAACTCATGACCTCGAGCTTTCGAGGCAGGCTGCAGCACCACTGAGCTAAATCCCTGGCCTGATAAGTAGGTATTTTGTTTGTTTGTTTTTTCTGTACGAGGAAATCGAATTCAGGGCTTCGAGTTTGCCAGGCAGGCACTGTCCCATTGAGCTATATCCCCAGCCCAGATAAGTAGTTTTGAATTGCTGTATTTCAATTATCTAGGTCCAAGCTATATACTTAATATTTGTCTGGGCTTCATGAATAGCTTTGTACATTACCAGCAGTTTTTAAAAATTGCATTCTCAGAAGTTTTTTTTTTTTGTACCAGGGATCGAACTCAGGACCTTGCACTTGCGAGGCAGGCGGCGGTGCCACTGAGCTAAATCCCCACCCCCATTCTCAGAAGTTTTATGTCTAAAAATTCAGTAAATGCCAGGGATTTAGCTCAGTGGTTCCACCACCTGCCTCGAAAGCGCAAGGTCCTGAGTTCGATCTCCGGTACCAAAAAAAAAAAAAGATTAATAAAAATTCAATAATTATAAAGTGGTTTTGGCTTGGGAAAAAAGTATAGCTGAAAATATAAATTCTCAGGTTGAAAATTCAGCTTAGTGAAAGGGGTTTTTCTGTGGAAATTTCTCATTTCAAGGGAAAGGAAAAAATATGAGAAGAGGAAATAAATGGAAACAAGGTCTTTGCAAATAGGGAAGGGTGGAGGGAGTTGAAGGGAGGGCAAGGGAAGGGGAAAAAAAAATAAGAACCAGGAGACTCATGTAATGGTACAAGAGCCCAATACTGAATGTAACTGTATTTTATACCTAAAATGTACCAATAAAGTTAATGGAGAAAAAAAAAAAAAGAAATTTCTCATTTCACATTTGAAGAATATGTGTTCTTGTTCCCAAAAGTATTTCATGATTTTCTTAATAGCATAATAAGGTTTCACTACTGAGTGTGCTGTTCTTGTCATTTAATTTTTTGTTTATTAGGGTTCTGTTGAAGACACCACTGGCTCTCAGTCTCTGGCTGCATTGCTGAATAAATGCAAAACCCCTCAAGGACAAAGGCTAGTTAACCAGTGGATTAAGCAGCCTCTCATGGATAAGAACAGAATAGAGGAGAGGTACAGTACTAGTGTGTACTCTGGTCAGCTCTAAGTAATGTAGTTCTTCTGTATGATATTTAAAATTTTTTTTATTAGTACATATTTGTAGTATATAGTGATTACATTCATCATGGGAAGTTGCTACATGTACATAACACATCTTGATTCGTTTTTCTTTCTTTTTTTTTTTTGAGATAGGGTCTTGCTGTGTAGTTCAGGCTGGTTTTTGAACTCACTATGTTGCCCAGGCTGGCTTTGAACTTGCAGCAATCCTCCTGCTCCAGCCTCCTGAGTTCTGGGATTACAGACATGTGCTACCACACCTAGCTTCATTCTTTATCTTTTTCCTCCTTGTCCCTCTTTTCTTTCCTGTATGATTATGCCACTTATTCTAATACAAATTTTGCACCAGGAGACAGGTGTGGCACACACCTATAATCCCAGCACTCAGGAGGCTTAGGCAAGAGGATTCTCTTCAGTTCCAGGCCAGCCTGAACTACTTAACAGGACCCTGTCTCAAAAAAAAAAATAGCACCTATATTTTACCATATAACCTCATATAAAGCTATAGAGCAATATAGTAGTAGTGATCTTAATTTAAAAAAAAGTTTTTGGTTTTTTTGAGACAGGGTCTCGCTTTGTAATTCAGACAGGCCTTGACCTCACTATGTTGTCCAGGCTGGCCTCGAACCCATGGCGATCCTCCTGCCTAGGCCTCCCAAGTATTGGGATAATAGGCATGTGCCACCACACCCAGTTTGTATTTGCAGTAGGGTATAGCACATGGAAATCACTTATTCTTCACTACTTGAGAAAGGATTTAAGGTGACCCAGACCTTTGAGATTGGGAGATAGCTCAGTGGTAGAGTGCTTAGCACTTGCACCAGGGTTTGATCCCCATTACTAGGGCAAAAAAAGAGAAATCTTTCAAAATGAGAAATAAAAGAAAAAGTATTTTGCTACCCTAATATGACTAGAGTTTGAGTATTTTTTAGTCTTTTTGTATAGAAGTCTGTTTCTCTGTTCCTTCCTCTCTCCCTCTCACTCTCCACCCATCCCGCCCTTCTCTTTTTCTCTCTCTTTCTTTCCTGCATAGAATTGAGCCCAGGGCCTCACAATGCTAGGCAGACCCTCTGTTCCCGAGTAGCTAGGATTACCGGCCTGTGCCACTTTGTCCAGCTTGGAACCCTAAGTGAAGCATTATAATATACATTCGAGCACAAACCTCAGGTGTGTATTTTGAATTTTCAAAGTGAATACATCTTTGTAACAACACAGAGGACAAAAAACAACACAGCTAGCACTCCAAACTCCCCTTATTTCTCAGGCCAATTCCCACCCCTCCTCATCCCCACCCCAGAGTATTTTCTGTCTTGACTCTGACATCAGATTGTTTTTTTTTTTAAATACTGGGAATCAAATTCAGGACCTTGGGCTTGCCAGGCAGGTGCGTAGCCACTGAGCTAAATCCCTGGCAGTTTGTTTTTAATTGGTAAAGAGGAAAACCTTTTTATTTAGAATTGTCAGATAATAAAAGTACAGGACATCCAGTTAAATTTCAATTAAGGAGTAACAATGAATGTCTTCTATGTAAAAAACAATTCTTTTGTCTGAAATTCAGTTTTTAAAAAATTAGTGCATATTAATGATATGAATGATGAGATTTTGGTGTATTGGTACATGCATATTTTTTTTGGTCCCCATCTTCCCCAACTCTTAAAGTCTACCTTTTAGTTTCCTGTCATCTTTTTTTTTTTTGGTACTGGGGATCGAACTCGGGTCCTTGCGCTTGCCCAGCAGGCAGCGAAATCACTGAGCTAAATCCCCGGCCCTCTTTCTTTGTTTTTGAAACAGGGTCTCACTGTGTAGTTCAAGCTGACCTTGAACTCCTGGCAGTCCTCCTGCCTCAGCCTTCTGAGTGCTGGATTATAGGCGTGCACCACCATACCTGACTAGGATAGTCTTTTTTTTTTTTCTTAAACATAATTATAATCATAGTAGTAAAATAATGTTTTGCTTTATTTTTTTCCCACATATGCTTATATTATCATGAGCATTTTTTGGTGTTACTGTTTTACTTCATATTTAGCACTTTATATATATAATATTTCATTCACTGGATGTACTTTCACTTACTTTGCCTTTCTCAATTTTGGGTTATACTAGGGACCTTATTGTGAATCTAGTGTTTTCCAGTTGGTATACATTGCCAAAATGAATAAAGAGACTTAACATTTTTGTTTGTTTGTTTTGGTACCGGGGATCAAACTCAGGTCCTTGTGCTTGCGGAGGCAGGTGGAGGAACCACTGAGCTAAATCCCCAGCCTCGAGACTTAACATTTTTATGGGTTAATGTGAAGTCCTTCAAGAATGATTTGAATACTGATGGCATATGAAAGCAGAACAATCTTTTGACTATTTGGGAAGATGTCATGCAAACAGAATAGTTAATCAGTATTGTAAGACAGCATACAAATAATTATTAAGCCAAATGTTGTCGTCTGGATTTCAAATATTTGAAAAGATATCAGGCTAACAGAATAGTCAGTATTTTAAGACATCATGTAAATTATTTCTAAGCGAATTGTTCAATCTATGCATTTTGAAGAGCCTTATAATAAAAATGATTCATGAGGTCAGTGAATTTGGGCTGTCAATAGTTAATAAAAAATGCAGAAGTTGTAATGCTAAGGGTGACTTTCTAAAATCAAATTTGAGGAAGAAGAGAGATTTAGTAACAGTAAGAAATTGGAAGGATTGATTAACTAAGATAAGGTCATTCCTGTTAATCAATTGAGTGGTGCTAGGGATTAAATCCAGGGTCTCTCATATATGCTAGCAAAGTGCTCTACCACTGAGTTACATTCCCAGCCCTTTATTTTATTTTATTTTTTTTGGTACCGGGGATTGAACTCGGGACCTTGCGCTTGCGAGGCAGGCAGCGGAACCACTGAGCTAAATCCTTGGCCCTCAGCCCTTTATTTTAAATTTCAGTTATTCATGAATAACTACTTACGTATGTCAAAATTTTAAAAAGATCAGCAGGACATGATGATGGTGAGCCTCCTGCCTTTGTCTCCACTCCTGTGGGGCCTTCCTCTGGGGCTCTTTTCTTGGCTCCCAGGACACATTTCTTTGTGGACCCTTGTGAGTCAGTACCACCTACTCTGGGACCTTCGGAGTCCTCCATGGAAAGGCTGTACCTCAGCAAACAGAACTGTGTATCACAGCCGTCTTTTTAAATTTTTTAGAAGGGAATGATGGGTAATTTAAATAACTTTCAAGCTATAGGTCATTGGGTGTCTTTAACTTGGAGCATGAGAAAAATGTCAGTGGGCCCCTTCCAGGTGATCATACATGTATTTAGACTGAGAAACCTGAGATGTCCCTCGTGCACTATAATCCGAGTGGCAAATTATTCAGAAGGTAAGCTATTAAAATTAGATGTTTTTCCAGAGGGTTAAGTGAAGGTTAGTTTCGCAGGACAACAAAGTAATTTCCAAATTTGTAGTTTTGTTCTTTTTTTTATTTAATTTTGTTTGCTTTTACAATGTTGGATTGAAATCAGGGCCTGCCTGATGAGTGTTAGGCAATTGCTTTACCTCTGAGCTCTACCCTCAGTAGCTCTACCCTGCAGTGGTCTTACAAGACTTATTTATTAGAAATAACATCTGGGAGGATAGCTTTATGAATCAGAATTTCATCTGTTTATTACTCCACCCTGTAGTGTAAGAGAAAATATTTTCTTTTTATCTTTTTTCTTTCTCTTAAATTCTTTTATTGGTACATGTTAGGTATGCAATACATTTACATTCATTATTGGGAACTTAATACATTTACATGATGTATCTTGGCTCTTATTTTTTCCCCATTCCTCTGCCCTCCCTTCAACCCCTTCCCCCTCCCTATTTACAAAGGCTTTGTTTCCATTTCTTTCTTTCTTTTTTTTTTTTTCTGGTACTGAAGATTGAACTCAGGACCTTGTGCTTGCTTTCAAGGCAGGTGCTGGAACCACTGAGCTAAATCCCCAGCCCCACTTTTTTTCCATTTCTTATCTTATATTTCTTCCTTTCTCTTTCCTTTCCCCTATCCCTCCCACTTCCCCTACCCCTTTGGACCTTTTCTTCATATTTCACATTATCAATATTCATTTTAATCCTTATTTACACTTTCAGTTTCTCACACCAGAGAAAGTATTTGGTATTTACACATGTATGTCCTATTTATTTCACCTAAGAGTATGCCCTCAATGTGCATCCACTTAGCTATAAATGTCTAGTTTCTCGTTCTTTATAGCTGAGTAGTACTCCATTTTATAAAAAACCCCACATCTTCTTTACCCCCCAGTGTCCAGTTGATGGGCACTTGGGCTGTTTCCAAGTTTCAGCTATTACAAACTGTGCCCCAATAAACATGGGTGTACATATATTGCTGTGGTATGATGCTTTTAATTCGTTTTTTTTTTTTTTTTTTTTGGTACCGGGCATCGAACTCGAGACCTTGCGTTTGAGAGGCACCCGCCAGAACCACTGAGCTAAGTCCTTGGCCCATATGGTTTTAATTCTTTTGGGAAGATACCCAGTAGGGGAATAGCTGGTCCAGTCTTTTTTTATCTTGATGACAGGATTTTTTGTACTTGCAGTAGGAAGGCCTGTAATTTTCTAGGCCAAAGTGTTGAAATTGTACAGAGTAGGAAGAAAAGTTATACTCCTTACACAGACCGTTTGGAAAGAGCACTTGTTTTAATTATCCTTTTCAACTCCATGCTTCTAGTTTAAACCATTCTGGGAGTTCTTGAGTTTACCTTTATCTCTAAGTGTTTATATTTATCTTCTTTCAGGATTGCATGTAAAGTTTTTGTTTCTTTTTGCCTCAGTACTGGGAATTGAACCCAGACCTTCAGACTGAGCTACATCCCCAGAGATAGGGTCTTGTTAAGTTGGCCAGGCAGGACTCAGATTTGGAATCTCCCTGCCTCAGCCTCCCCAATGTTTAGAATTATAGGCATGAACCACCGT